GCGAATGACGCCGTTCTTGTTCAAGAGCGTGAGCGTCGTCTGGTGACGCTTGCTGAACGAGATGCTATTCACAGTCGAGAGCGAGAGTCCCTGCTCAAGGATGTCACCATGCTCAAGGTGCAGCTGACGGAGGCAAAGACGTCAATTGCAAGAGCAGAACGGGACTTCTCTTCACAAAACTCAGCCCAAACCGTTCTTTTAGAAGAGAAGGTAACCAAGATGGAGGAACTGCGACGCAACCTAGAGACGGTTAGGGAAGAGCATGCGTCCAGCTTGCGGGCAATTACAGACCTCCGTGAGGAGTTGGGAAGGAGCCACAAGGATGTTTCATTGCTTACCCAGGATCTCACCAAATCCCGGTCACTCGCTTCGGAGCTGGAGGAACATCGATCTGCCCTTGGTGATGCCCGAAGTGAACTTCAGCGAACAAAGACTGAGGTAGAAACTCTGCGAGAGGAGAAGTCGCGACAAGATCAAATTCTCCGGGATCTTCAGGCCCAGCTGTCCAATGCGAAGAATTCGAGGTCCCCAATTGAAGACGCGACCCCCAGTCTGTCTGAGCGACCACAAGCCCATCGTCTAGGCAGCCTTCCACCAGCAAAATTACCACCGCTCACTCCTCCGCCTTCTATCCCGCCTCCCCCAGTTCCAACATCTATTCCCGCTGTCCCTTCAGTACCTACCGATTCCAGTACTACGACCATGTCACGCTCATCTCATGGTTCGCGACCATCCCTGGACGACTCGGTATCTGGACGTTCGACCCCTTCTACCTCACTCATGGTGCATGGCGCAAACGTGGAGAAGTTGCAAGTTCAGGTCATTGAACAGCACCACATGATTGAAGAGCAAGAAATAATGATTCGGACACTGAATAAGCAGCTGACACATTGTGAAAGTGATCTGCAAGCTCATATGGATCTTGTGGCAACCTTGGAAACATCGTTGACGGACTCAGAGCGGAACCGTGAGTTGAATATGTTTCGTCTGGGGTCTCAATCTTACAAGATTTCTCCGTTTTCTCCATGCACCGACACAAGTTCGCAAGAGCCGCATGCAAGCCAACGAGTATGCGAAGGATCGTGATGCTTTGAACGAAGGGATCGAGGCGTTAAGGGCTGAACTGCAGCGTTCACAGCAAGAAGTCTTAAATGCTCGTCGATCAGTTCTCGAGGAAAAGGAGCAATATGAAACAAGACTAGAAGAGGAGCGACGTGCCAAGGAGCGGACGAGGGCTCAGCTAGAAAGTCGTATGGATGAGATTCAGAGGCGGAAGTCCAAATTCGTTTGCTTGTGACCCTCCCCGTAACGATATATCCACCTTTTGGGCAGCTACCCCTTACACTTGATATCCACACATACACCTCTGCCGTCATGTGGGCCTACCGATGGCTGCACATTCGGCAGTTAAGTCTCCCTGCCGGATCCCCATAGCTTTCGCCCACAAGGGCACATTCTCCCATTGGTTTATCCCTTAGTTTGGAGCCCCGGAGTTGCACTGCTGACGCATTTTGTCATTCTTCATTTGGTGGAGGCTGGATTCCCACTGCACTTTACATTATTTAATCCTAAGTGGCTCGAGATTTTCCATAACCTTTGTACATAGTACTTATCTATCACTATGCCATGCCAGATAATGAGATATGTTTTATGAGGACTTGTCGGAGAGTATAGCTAAATGTGATCGCGACCTAAATAAAAAATAGAATGCTGTGGCTTAACTGCGGTATTCAATGTAAGTGGCCACACCGCACGTTGCTGACACGGGCGTATGCCCACTGACAAAAGCCGAATACTACATAGGGCAGTTCAATCCTTGCACATTACGCTGAGGAAAATAGAAAACTTCGGTGCGGAATGGGTACGTTTGGTTGCTATTATACCCTGGCGACGTAAATTGAGATTCTCTCCATGACTGCAGCATTCGGCTATAGACGTGTTCGCGTTTAACGTCTTTGGCACCGAGAAATATCTTGAATCTGACTCCCAGAATTTAGTGCCAACAATTTTCTACAGCGCTCCTATTAGTGGCGATGCGTTTCACTAGTAATCTACACGTATGTCCCGCCATATTCGGCGACTTTGCGATGACTCGAAGACAGACCCAATGATTCCTGTTGTGTTTGAGTGTACGCAACTACTTGCGCCGCTGAGCTGTCATGCGACCGCCAGGTGACAAGAACTAGGCTCGCCACATATACCCATCTGATCGAGGCTCATATTGCATGGTGGCAAGCATATATCGAGAAAAATCCCTGACTTCGACGAACATCTCTCTCTCTCTCTCTGACTAAAGTCGAACTGAAACTCCCCTCAATTGGTAGTGAACTTCCTATTGGTCTTCAGCGGGAAAAACTGTTATGCAGCAAAGATCTCTAAGTGCTGTATCCTACGCATCCGAGGCTGCTGTTAGCGATACGACACTGTCTATCATGTCACTGAAGCAAAAAATCGAAGCCGCCCTTGTCTCAGGCGGTGGAATGGCGATACCGATTCTTACAGCTGTCAATTCCGCATCGGACACATTCCCTCTAAAAGTGCCACAGGAGGGGCTTTATTCATTGCGGACGCAGTGAAGGTGAGTTTGATCCGTAACGACGTGAGTTATGAGTGGAATCTCCCGACGTGTATTTTACAGAGGTTTAAAACAAGAAACAACGGGAAGATTTCGGCCAGCATGCGGCGGACATGGTAGTTGATGTAGGCTTAAGCCTCAAGTCTTATGAAGCGGCGGCGGCGGAAGCACAACCGTGGGTTGGTAGCATTCGGCGGCTTGATCTGTAAGTAGGTCAGCCCTCCTAACAAATTCATCGGACGGTGACAACGACACCTCTAAGCGTGCTTCAGGATATTAAGTCAAATATTGAGCAAAGGCTTGAAAAACTGGAGGCGCGATCTTCTTTCCGTAACGTGATATCCTACATGCGAGACCCAGGACCGATTGACGATGTAAGGAACGATCTAGGCAAGGCATTAGCATCATTCCAGGCTAGCGTTTTCCAGCAGTCATATTGAAGAGCAATTCTGGCGTTGAAGGCGATTGTAGCTTCGCGCCAGCCTGAGAGTTGGCATAAAACTGACGGACTTGGGTTCGTTAAAATTAACCCAAATGCTGTGATCATGCTGAGAGAACGAGTACTGAGCAAGAGCTCGATCAACTCAAGTATGCCGACCTAGCTCATCACGACTCTACTGCAGTATGCCAGGAAGGCACTAAATGAGGAAACCCGAGTGATGCTACTGTCTGCCACTGCTGGCGCCGGGAAATCGGCCGTTGCACACTCAATCGCAGAGAAATGCACCGATCAAGGGATTCTTCTCTCAAGTTAGGGCGGGTGAGCAGCCCCGGCCAGACCATTTGTTTAGTGGCATGACAAGAACATTGGCTGAGTAAAGCCCGCTTCATCACAGTATCCACGCTCAAGAAGGATCCCACGCTATCGACAGCCCCATTCAAGATGCAGCTCAGACCCCCACCGGCGGATCATCCAATGGTTGTCGTTATTGACGGTCTCGACGAATGCGAGAAGGATGCATTCGAGACATTTGCCAACACCCTTCGAAAGGAGGTTCCCCAATTACCGCGTTCTGTGAAATTCTTCGTCACATCAAGACATTTTGATCTTGTCCAACGTTCCCTCTCACCCTCAGTCGCCTCACTATTAACCTCCTGGATGAAGGACTGTGCCTCATTTGTTCGTTCACAGCTGAATGAATTGGAGGCGCATCCAACCTTAGTATACGACGTCGATGAAGAGCTCTTGGCTCAACAGATTACCGCTCGCTCCAATGGACCCTTTGGATGGATCAGCACCGTGTTCATCTTCCTCAAAACAAAGGGGAAGTCTCCGATGACTACACTGAGAAAACTAGTTGACATGAGTTCTGATCCTGGCAGAATCCCGGCTGAGCGGATGATGGATAGACTGTATGCGTCAATCTTAGAGAAATGTGACTGGGAAGATGGTGATTTGGTGCATGATTACCCAATCGTGATGGGGGCCCTCTTGGCTGCTTCACGGCCGCTGTCTGTTACGGCGTGGGACATCATTCTATCAACTCTCCTATTCAAACTACCCTCGCTGAACTTAGCCCACTCCTTTTGGGAACTCAAGAACCTCACACGCCGATTCGCATTTTGCATCAGTCATTCCGCGACTTCGTCATGGATTGTTCTGAGTCACGATCATCCACTTTTCAGCAACATGTGAGTGATACAACCATGGACAATGAAAGGATGCACTGCGAGGTCTCCAGACCCTGAATGAGAAGTTATGTCGCGTCGAAAGCCTTGGAGTGGTCAGCGATATATCTCCGCAAGATGGTACATGCGCTGTTGATTCTGTCAAAACAACTCTCCATCGGTGGAAGGCACTGGATGCAGGTACTGAGTCATTGTCGTGCTTTATTCCCAGTATCACGGTGCCTACGCGGAGCGACTGGAACAGCCGTCATCCTTAGTCGTGAGCGTACTGGAGGACCTTGGAAGACATGAAGAGTGCTGTGGCTACGCGTAAGGGATGTGAATGCACGGAATTATGGTTGTACCTTCGCATTCAAACCACATCGGGTACATACTCTCATGTACAAGGTATCCAGAAACCGTACATGTTTCAGTAGAGCTTCACATTCTCTGTGCACTGTTGCATTATGTACGGATTAACAATGCTCATAGAATGACGTAGATGAGAAGTTTCATCTATACATGCTGGGCATAATTATTCCACGGTTAGCACAAAAGTGCTGGCCGCAGTATATGATGCAGCTATATAATAAAATGATGCGGAAGGGTACTTGTGGTCGGATTGGATCAAGGACAGGCAACGTCAAGTCGCTACAGCGGCATACAAACAAGCGCGTGAACCCGTATGCACAGGGGCTATCAGGGTTGGGCCCTACCACTGAAACTTGGGCCAGCGAACAATGACAACAGAAGTTGATAGCCGATGACTGATGGTTAGATCCGAGGTTGCGAAGTTCGTGATAACAAAGGCAATGTCGGTATGCACATGCTCAGCTGTGAATCCATCTTTTTTCATGAAGGATTAGGCATTATAATACTGAACAATAGAGAATGGATCATCCATTCAACACCGCATCGGAAATAAGCTGAACCTACCATTGAGAACTAATCTAAGGGATAAAAATGCGCGAATAGCCCTCCACACTGTACAGAGATAAGTCGGAGTGCTCCATTCAGCGCTAAATTGGCGGCAAAGTGGCACATAACTCACGTCTGCCGACAACAAGGGCAAGTATGCTTTCCACTACTACTCCTTGCTGCCAAACCACTCCGACATTCATCGCAAAGTGCCAGACACCTGCACGGCCAAAAAATAACTACTCTGGGCTCCACCGTACATATCACACAATTGAATCGTAAGGGATCGTTCTCCTGTTCTGATGGAGGACGGCGAGCTTGCCGAAGGGCGAGTGTGGAAGAAAGGAGGGAATATCCACTGCGTGTCAAGGCTCGTGGAGGCGAAGTTGGAACATCGTGTCGGTGTCCAGGCGAGGAGAGGCGTGCTAGAAGCGCTGAAGCCTCAGACAGAGAGAGGTCCGATATGAGGGCACCTAATTCAGATGCGTCCGGAAGCTCGTTATCAAATGGGGTTGTCTCCCGGCTGGGAATTGCGAAGCGGGGAGCGTTTGCAACATGAGGTGAACGATCAACAGATGAATTAGTGGATGTGACAGATCGTCGGGTATCGTCGCCCTCGTCACTATCGTCCGTTGTCCATCCGCTCTCACTCGTGTCGTGTCCCAAGTCAGGAACGTACTCATCATCATCATCCTCTTCGTTATCAATTCCCCTTGCTACATCCACAGGTAATCTGCTGTCCTCAGCATGCCTGTCGCTCGAACGTGGCGGCGACATTCTCCCTAAAATACCCCACAGAACACTTGTCGTTGCAGCCCTCAGCTCCCTCCTCTCGTCCTCGTTCATTGCCCGCGCCTCATCCCTTCCCCGACTGCCCAATAGATTCCTCACAAACCTTACCTGCCATATCACAAACCCAATCCACCACATCTTCAAACTTCTTAATAATCCACGAACCTCAGGATGGTGGGCGGATCCAAACCAGTAACCTCCTATAGATGGACTTGGAGGCATAAATGATGGTGAGATTTGAGAGTCAGAGGAGGAAGGATTTAACGGCGCGGGACCGGAGAAAACTGTAGGTCCAGATGAGGTGCCAAGCAAAGGAAGTACACGTTGTATTTCGTTCCCAAATCCTCTCCGTGAACGACCCCTCTGCAATAAAGTATACCCGTTCCGGCCGATCGTTCCTGCTGACGAAGTGTTCAGCGCACCATTTGAAGGGCTTTCGGAAGGCAGGACGACCTCACTAGGGCCCAACCTCAGTACATCCTTCTCCTTTGCATCATCATTCTCCAACAATGAAGTACGCCTAACACCCACTACTTCATTGGCGAGCCCCACGAAATTTGTCGCATCCAAACATGCCATTCCGACCTTTGCTAGCGCCTCGCTGAACTGATCAGAGTGCGAAAGGAGGGACATACCCGGCACTGCCGTACTCCATGAAGATGGTGCGAGCCATGACATGCTGGGGACGGAGGAGACAGAAGCAGGCGGGTTAGGATATCGAGAGTGTGTGTGATGAAAATGATAGAGAGGAGAAAAGTTTCGACAAGCGTTGTTGCGAAGGAGGGATACGGATGTGAAGTAGGATTCGTTATCAGTGTGTAGATGAAATGGATCTGTAAATTCGAACATAAAACGAATGCTGGATGTGTCTCCGTCAGATCTACGTACTATGCCCGCAATGCCACAGACGCTCGACGGTATAAGTCTGTAGTCACCCCATTCTCTCTTGACGTTC